CAATTGGATCAACTGAATACGAATAGAGGCAAAGGTTCGCATCCCAGGTATTTGTCTAGAAGAAGTGATTGCGTTCACCGGAATCGTAATTTTATTCATCTGATCTTTCGGGCTCTTGCGGGAGTCCATCGTCAGAGATAAACCGTCAACGAAAAGCAAGCAACAGTTATAGGGGGTAGGAACCAATAAACTGTTTCAGGGGAAGGGGGAGGGAAGGCGAAGTGTAGGGTGGGAGGGGGGGAGGGGAGGAGTACGCAAGGGGTAGAGGAGAAGGAGGATGGAGGGGGGCACTCATTAATCACCAGTTTCAGTCGTGCGTAGATGCCTGCGGGGAGCCAACTCAGCGCACCGGTTGACTGAGTTGTCATCCGAGGCCCAAGCTTCAAGTAACTCTCGTGCGGTCTTGCTGTCGGCGTGAGCAACTACTCTTGCGGCAGCCGCAAGAGCCCGAAAGCTCAGATGCAAAAAAATTACGATTCCGGTGAACGCAACCACTTCTTCTTCAGCTGAATACGTCGTTATATGTAAGCCCAAAGGCATGAGATAGTGAATATACTGTACACTGATGTATACTCCAAACAGAAATACATTCGTGTGATAGTGATCTGATTTGAAAATTAACTTCCAACGATAAGCGCCAACATCACTGCTTTAGGGCATCTCGGTCATTGGTGTCTTTTGGATCTAAAACCTACACTTCACATTTATATAGAACTATTACCTTGAAGAAAGCCAGGTATGCATAAGCCAAGTGAAAACCGAGGTGACCAAGTTTTTTCTGGATGAAGTGAGTTCTTTATACACTGGGGGTGCATTTTCGTCTATCCGGGGAACGGCAAATCCCATTTCTGTAAGGACAATCGCCATGATTTCCAAGACCTCAAGAAAATTCGACTGCTGAATTTGATTTTAATGAAGTAGTCCAGTATCAACCCCACCCTCTTCCGCAACACTCATCACCTTAGAGTGGAAATGGATTCCTATCTAGGTGTACCACAAAAAAGATACGGCTCTTGAACTCCCAGGTCGCAGGCTTCATTTAGAGGGTTTTTTCGGATCTCACGCAGTCCTCAGTTGGCTCGAGTTAGCTCTTCAATCAACGATGTTCCAATCAACAACTACTTATGGCATTCTGGTAGATTGAGAGGCATTTGATACATACATCGCGCTAGGTCAAAGGAAAAACATTTTCTTGTCCTTAGTCCATGCATAAGTATTTGACCTTACCTCAAGACGACTCATGAGGAGTCGAAACCCTCGTTGCTGTATCAAGAACTAGTAAAAACCTTGGCAAAACAAGTTTGCGGGCATTTAA